GGTGTGCGGCGCCTCTGTATTGAGCAATATCGCGACGTAGCTCGATAGAGCGTTGTCTGCTGTGTTCGGCCCGGCGGGAGTAGTTGTATCCGGCGCGACGGTATTCGTCGTGGGTCTTGGGGCGCCCACGTGATCCATAGATAGATCTGGATTGTCTTGCCTTGTCCTCCAATATATCCCGCAAGTCCGGCGCGTTCCCCCGTGGCTTCATGCTTTTTGAGCGATGCCGGGGTACGGTTTTGGTGGAGGGCTTGCATGCCTCTCTGTCGCGGCCACGAGGTGGTCGGTCTGCCGTATTGTGTGCTGGTGATGCAGGTTTGTACGCTTCCTCCTCTAGTCGGGGGAGCAACTTGCGTTTTGAGTAACTTTTGGAGGGGCATTCGAGTTCATACTCTTCGGCCGCGAGGACCTCGGTCCATCTGTCGGCCAGTAGGTCTTGATCAGCTTGAAGCTGTTGCTGCTTTTTCTTTAGGCTATTTGTCGTGGCCATTAGCCTGCGTCTGAAACGCTCTTGTTCGACGGGATCCTCAGGCACGACGAATTCGTCGTCGTCGAGGCTTGCCTCGTCTCCGGAGGGAGGTAAGTAATTATCATCCTCGACCTCTTCGTCTGCCGCCCTCTCGTGAGGGCTTGCATCTGCCTCCTCCTGTGCTGGATCGTGCTGGAGGGGGTTGTCTTCGGCACTTTCTGGGGTGTTATTATCTCCTGTGCCGGAATCTCCATTCTTGCTGTGGCGGGATTTAGAGCGGCGCCGCTGATGTCGGCGCTTGGGCTGTTTCTTTAAGGAATCGGCCTCCGTTGCTTCTTCGCCGTCCCCATCTTTTGGGGTGTCCACCATGTATATGTCGTATGACGAGGTGGTCTTTCAGTGTCCTGTAGGCACTGGTTCTTGATAGTCTCCGGCATCGTTGTCCATACCGTCGATGTCTTCAGAGTCGTAGTCGAGTACGTCGGTTAGATCGTCGACGGTGGCTACAAAGTGGGTGGTGGGTGGGCTCTGAATTTCTTTGTCGTCCGCGTCCCAACCATCCTGGCCGTAGTTCGGCCAGGGCTCTCCGGATAGCGAGAGATGCTTCAGCGAATTTAAGATATCGCCGAAGGGTGAGTGCTGAAAGATGTCCGCAACGGTGAATTCCATGATCGGCGCCCAATCGGATTCGACTGGCAGGGGCGCAGGAGGTTCGGAGTCCGGCAGAGAGTCCGGCACCTCGGAGTCATGAGCTTTATGCGGGACAAGGTAAGTGTTCGGCTCCATCGTTGTAGAAGTTGCAGCTCCCGAGGCGGTGTCCAGCCATCCGTCCTCGATCTGAGCGATCGGCTCTGGACTATGGGTCAGAGCGGATTCGTGTGCGGCCTCCAAGATGCTGTCCGGCGGCAGAGTTAGGTCGTGCCCAACGTGACAGCGCGAGGCGCTCGGCTGTGGCTCAGATCCATCGAAGATCAAGTCCCCGCGGATATCGGCCGTGAAGTTTAGGCTTCCAAACCTGACGTGACGGCCAGGGGCGAAGCTTTCAATCTGCTCCAGATGGCCAAGTGAGTTGGCCCGCAGTTCGAAGCCGCCGAATACGAAGATCTGTCCGGGGAGGAAAGTCTCACCCAGGACTGCGTCGTTGTCGATTGAAGAGGCCATCAAGCCTATCGGTGACGACACAGAGGAACTCTCAATGAAAGCACCAATGTCGGTGTCAAAACCGGCGGATCTCGGGTAGGGGGTCCCGAACTGTGCGTCTAGGCGGATGGTAACAGGAGACAAGGGACATGATGTTTTACCCAGGTTCGGGCCCTCTTGATGGAGGTAAAACCCTACGTCCTGCTTGATTGATATTGATATTGTGGATGTTTACAAGAGTGGATCTACCACGAGATCAAGGAGGCTAAACCCTAGAAGCTAGCCTATGGTATGATTGTAATGGTTGTTGTTGTTGTTGTGTCCTACGGACTAGAGCCATCCGGTTTATATAGACACCGGAGAGTGCTAGGGTTACATAGAGTCGGTTACAATGGTAGGAGATCTACGTATCCGTATCGCCAAGCTTGCCTTCCACGCCAAGGAAAGTCCCATCCGGACACGGGACGAAGTCTTCAATCTTGTATCTTCATAGTCTTGGAGTCCGATCGATGATGATAGTCCGGTCGATGATAGTTCGGCTGATGATGGTAGTCCGGCTATCCGGACACCCCCTAATCCAGGACTCCCTCACCAATATTCTACAACTTTCATATACTTTTGGCAACTTTTTATACTATTTTTTGGGACTAACATATTGATCCAGTGCCCAGTGTCAGTTCTTGTCTGTTGCATGTTTTATGTTTCGCAGAAACCCCATATCAAACGGAGTCCCAACGGGATAAAAACGGGTGGAGAATTATTTTGGAATATTTGTGATTTTTGGGAAGTAAAATCAATGCAAGACGGTGCCCGAGGTGGCCACGAGATAGGGGCCCACGCCCACTCCAGGTGGGCACGCCCCCCACCCTCCTGGGCCACTCGTAAGGCGGTTGATGCCCTTCTTTGGCCGCAAGAAAGCTAATTTTTGAAAAAGATCTGGGCGAAGGTTTCAATCCAATCGGAGTTACGGATCTCCGGACATAAAAGAAACGGTGCCAGGGCATAATACCAGAACGCAGAAACAAAGAGAGACAGAGAGACAGATCCAATCTCGGAGGGGCTCTTGCCCCTCCCAAGCCATGGGAGCCAAGGACTAGAGGGGAAACCCTTCTCCCATCTAGGGAGAAGGTCAAGGAAGAAGAAGAAGAAGGGGGGCTCTCTCCCCCTGGCTTCCGGTGGCGCCAGAACGCTGCCGGGGGCCATCATCATCATCGCGATCTACACCAACACCTCCATCATCTTCACCAACATCTCCATCACCCTCCCCCATCTATATTCAGTGGTCCACTCTCCCACAACCCGTTGTACCCTCTACTTGAACATGGTGCTTTATGCTTCATATTATTATCCAATATGTGTTGCCATCCTATGATGTCTGAGTAGATTTTCGTTGTCCTATCGGTGATTGATGAATTGCTATGATTGGTTTGAGTTGCATGTTTTATTATTGGTGTTGTCCTATTGTGCCCTCCGTGTCGCGCAAGCGTGAGGGATCCCCGCTGTAGGGTTTGCAATATGTTCATGATTTGCTTATGGTGGGTGGCGTGAGTGACAGAAGTACAGACCCGAGTAAGTAGGTTGTTTGCGTATGGGATAAAGGAGACTTGATACTTTAATGCTATGGTTGGGTTTTTACCTTAATGATCTTTAGTAATTGCGGATGCTTGCTAGAGTTCCAATCATAAGTGCATATGATCCAAGAAGAGAAAGTATGTTAGTTATGCCTCTCCCTCAAATAGAATTGCAATAATGATCACCGGTCTAGTAACGTAGTCAATTGCTTAGGGACAATTTCACAACTCCTACAACCACTTTTCCACACTCGCTATATTTACTTTATTGCATCTTTATCTAAACAGCCCCTACTTTTTATTTACGTGTTCTTTATTATCTTGCAAACCTATCCTATCACACCTACAAAGTACCTCTAGTTTCATACTTGTTCTAGGTAAAGCGAACGTCAAGCGTGCGTAGAGTCGTATCAGTGGCCGATAGGACTTGAGAGAGTATTTGTTCTACCTTTAGCTCCTCGTTGTGTTTGACACTCTTACTTATCCAAAGAGGCTATAACTACCGCGTATACTTGCGGGTTATCAGCGACTTGGATCATCACATGTGGCGAGATCGAGTTGAAGATGAAGCTCAGCACCTGAGAGTCTTGCGCCATGGTGATGAGACGCGCCGGGTTCGGCACATTAGTAGGCTTACCATCCTTGTCGGTAAGCTTGGGCTCTGGGAACGGGTGATCGGGGTTGAGGTGGTCGATTAGCTCCGCTCCGTGGATGGTGGCTAGGGCTTGCGCGCGCCAAACCAGGTAGTTACCCCGGTGAAGCTTGTCAGCAATGGGAATGAGGGCAAAAGCGGCGGCGGCGGAGCTGGAGCTAGCCATAACTAGGGTTGGATGTTGGAGAGGAAGTAGGCTCTGAATACCATGAATTGGATGAAGCGTATGCATCTGGCAGGGACGCGTTACGTGTTATATAGCCAAAAAAGTTTACAGGGATACGGGAGTTAGGTTACATCGCATGGATTGACCCTCACGCAAGCTATACAGTGATAAGAATAACCCTAACGACCTAACAACCCGATTACATCAACACACGCAACGCAAAGATCCTACCAGAAGTATATACGGTTTATACACTACCGTATATATGTACAATTATATCTAACAGAACAAGCGTTTTAATTCCGGACCATTTGTTGTTCGGATTTGAGCATTTTGTTGTATCTGAGAGAATTATTGTATTGCACGGTGTTAAAAAAATTCATAAGTTTGCTATGTATTACTGTTTTTATTTAAATTATATTGTTTAAAATCATGATTTGCGGTATGCATTTGTATCATCGCGTGAAATCGGATGGAACAGATGCCGCAACCACGTACCTCTGTTTCATTTGACGCGGTGCGATACTACTGCAAATCTATGGGAAACTATAAACGGTTTTTGCGGGAGAAGATTTTTTTGTGTGACATCATTTTGCGGGAGAAGATTATACGGTATCTGTTGCTCTAATATATAGTCTGACGAAGAACATTGCTATACGGACGACGAAATTCAGATGACTCCTACATTGCTATACGGACGACGAAATTCAGATGACTCCTGAACGACAGCGATAATCCGGCCGCACACATGCGTGTCCACAACAGAGCAACGGCCGCTGGATTTGTAGTCGTCCACACATCGTCCCAATTGTGTCGTCTGTAGAGTAGTTTCGTCCGACGAAAGGTTGACCTGGTCTTACAAAATTCCCCACCTCCACTCGCACACAACTGCTTGCCGCCGGCCCACCTCAAAGCCGTTGCGGCCGCGTGTCAGACCGACGAGCACTCCGGCGGCGACTCCAACTAACCTCGTATCCTCCCGCAGCGGCACCGTCCCGGAAGATGCCCCCGGTGCCTGCCGCGGCGTCGTCGAGCGTCCCCAACGTGCCCCCGGAGAGCACCTCTACGGGGGGCATGTCGTCGCCGGGCAACTCCATGGCGCCCCTGGAGAGCACCCCTACGGCTACGGGGGCCGCGGCGTCGCCGGGAAACTCTGTGGTGCCCCCGGAGAGCAACCCTACGGCGAGTCCCCCGCCCTCTGTCACGGAGCCAGAGCGGCTTTCTTTATCCATCCAAGATGAATCCTCAACTCCCCTGCTTTCGGTCGACGTCGACGACCTGCACAAGCATGCCATCGAGTTCTTGGAGGAATCGAACGGATACCCTGTCCTCACGGATCCTGCCGCCGGGTTCGCCAAGCTACTGGAGCTGTTCGCCGCGGCCGAGTCAAAGGCCATGTATGCTGGAGATCTGAAGGCGGCCGCCTCCATCTTGAGCAAAGCTGCCGCCGATGGCAAGCTTCCGGTGAATCTCGCGGGCACCGCAAAGAGGCTGGCATCTGAGGCGACGAAACTCGCGTCCGAGGTGGAGACCAGGCATACTATTTCCTCTTTGGCGAGGATTCGCTCATGCTGCTGCCTCTCGGCGTCCCAGATAGCGCGCTACTGGTCATGGTGCTGCACTGATGAGTTGCCCCTCCATCGCAGAGACCTTGATCGGCAGGTGAGCATGCATTTCTGTTGTTACTGACCGAAAAAATGCTCTAGCACTTCTGTTTTGACTCTTGTGTTGTGCTGGATCATAAACGAATCTGTAGATGATGTCAAAATTGGAACCACAGGAATTTGTTTCCTTTTTGATGATTACAGAATGCAGACTGCTAGAATTTTCTTGTGACCTGACTGCAAGTTGCAGTCCACTAAATAGGGAGCTGGAACTGATTGAAACAGACCAGTGGCTATCTTAGTTATGCTTTGTAGTTGCAGTCCAAGAATGCAAACTGCTAGAATTTTCTTGTGATCATCTCAGAGTTTTATTTTGTGCCTTTGCGTTGTAGGCCTTATTTGTTGACAAGCTCTCCGCGCTCTACTGCTTATCGATGCCGGCTTCGCTTGGCCTCCTTCCATACTTGCCTGCTACGATTCCCAAGGACCAGTCTGTGCTCATGGCGTATATCTATGGTCTGATTTTCTCATCGGCCTCCATCGGGCTAGTCCTGAGCCTCCACCCGATGAAGCGCTTTGACGTGGAGCTAGCACGTTTTGTTAGCAGGCTCAGTTTTGTGGGTCTGTCAGTGCTCGTTCTCATATATGTGTACTACGCATTGTCGCCGGGTAACTACGCTATGCTCGGAATTTGTTCAGGGATACTCGCTGCTGGCCATGGATATGCATGGATTAGGGTAAGTTCAATCGCCTCGAAAGAAAATTATCATCTACTCCCTCCTTTCCTAAATATTTGTCTTTTTAGAGATTTCAAATGGACTACCACATACGGATGCATATAGACATATTTTAGAGTGTAGATTCACTCATTTTGCTCCATATGTAGTCACTTGTTATAATCTCTAGAAAGACAAATATTTAGGAACGGAGGGAGTAGTACAGAGCTGTTGCAGCAGAGTAGCGTATACTAACATTCTGATTCTTTGGTACAGAGCTGTTGCAGCAGAGCAGAGGACCCTTCAGACGCGCCAGAGGAAGTTTCATCTGATCACCGCAGTGAATGAGGCCACGGGATTGACATTCCTTTCCTCCTACCTGCAGCTGAAAGATTGGTGTTCGTCACACTGTAAATTTGAGCAATTCTCTAGCACTTCTGTTTTGACTCCTGTGTTGTGCTGGATCACAAGTTATGAATCTGTAGATGCATGATGTCCAACTTGGAACCACAAGAGGACCCTTCAGACGCACCAGAGGAAGTTCCATCTGATCACCGCAGTGAATGAGGCCGCGGGATCGACACTCCTTTCCTCCTACCTGCAGCTGAAAGATTGGTGTTCGTCAGATTGTAAATTTGAGCAATTCTTTAGCACTTCTGTTTTGACTCCAATGTTGTGCTGGATCACAAGTTGTGAGTCTGTAGATGCATGATGTCCAACTTGGAACCACAAGAATTTGTTTCCTTTTGGATGATTACAGAATGCAAACTGTTAGTACAATTTTCTTGTGACCTGACTGCAAGTGCAGTCCACTAATAGGGGGCTGGAACTGACTGAAACAGACCAGTGGCTCCCAGTGCCAAAAATCTTCTAAAATTTCTAGCCTTCCTTTCCTAGAATCGTGGTAATTCAAACCAACATGTTCCTTTTTGCTGTATGATTTTAACCTGACATCTCTGAATGGATTTGTATAGACATGCCAAATGGTTCTTGAAAACTTAGACTCTGGACAAGTGGAAATTGATCAAAACAAGCGACTGAATTGAGTGTCATGGTACTTGAGTACCTGACTCATGAGGCTGGTATAGGTATCAGGGTGTTATTTATTTTCCTCAACTTTTCGATTCAATACAATTTTTTCTACTGTGTGGAAACAACAGACCATGACATCTTAATGCATCCTTAGACATAGGAAATCGTCCAAACAAAACATTTTTGTAAAATCTCCGACATATTATCTATTTCTTCTTCTTCTCCTTCTTCTGATTTCCTGTTTTCATTTTAGGATTATTTATGCATTTTCGAACTGGGTCTCTTTTAATTTTACGATTTGTCAAATGTTTCTCCTTATTTTTCCATTTTCTGAATTTCTCACTTCCCTGGAAAGGTATTATTTACATTTTCTTTGATGATGACAACGACTTCTATTTGTTTCATACGAGAACTCATAGATGCAACGACTCTGATTTGGGGGGTTTTATGAGCTTTTTATTAGTCGTTACCCTAGAGTTTGGGCATCAGTTAAAATCCCCTACTCGACACGACTTCGTGCTCTATCCACACTGTACGACTCTAAGTTCAGTTGTGACCTAACTGTGCAAAATATTCTACATAATTCCAATACACTAGATACTTCGTCCATCCTAACCCTAGCCTGATTTGAACATTAAAATTTGACAAACAACAAAGGGGAAGGGGACTCATCCAAATTCACCGACCTTGTTCCTGATGTAGGCATTAGCCGCCTGTAATGATTTTTGTTGGGCCACATTTATGTTTTTCCTTTTATTATAAATCTCAACATTTGTGTTTATCTTCTAGTAATTATATAAATGAGGTTAAAGTGGCAACACATAATACTAGATTAACATTGTGTGCATTTTGCTTGTCTGTAGGAAGGAAAATGACCATTGTTTACGGATTCATTTTTGGCCCGTTGCAATGCACGGACAGTCTACTAATATTATGTGTTGCGGAAAAAAATCACATATATCAAAATAAATGTTTCTATGAAAAACATTGTTCATATGTTTAAGAAAAGATGCTCATTGTATGGAATATGACAGAAAGGTAATTTTCATGCACACTAAAAATATGTGCATATATGTACACAAATAAATGTTCTTATATTCATAAAAAAATATATGCACTGGCATAATAGAGAGAAGGGAAGTAAATGAAATGAAAAAGAAGATAAACAAAAAAACATAAATAAGAAAAACAAAAAATAACAATGAAATAATAAAAGGAAACTAAAAAAATGACTACATTGGGGACTTTGGCCGAAGGACGTGGGTGTAGCTCACTAGCTACCGCTTAAGGCCTTGTTTGAGAAAGGGGGATTTGAAGCCCCAAAGGGGTTGGGATTACATGGGATTTGGTGAATCTCTCCCCTTCACCAATCCCCTTAGGACGTGTTTGGTTGCCCACATATAGGCCAACCAGACCCGCGCGGGATGTTTTGGGGCTGTTTGGTTGTCTGGCCCGTTTCTTGGGCTGCACTAAATTTAAAGCACCTATGTGCCTGCACGTGAGGGAACGACCGAATCGACGGTATTTGGAGAGCTAGGCTCGCTCGATCCACATGTGCACGTTCTATGCATGCATTGGGAAGCACGGGAGACTGACAAGATGTCTCATAATACCCGTCCCTTTCTCCTGTCACCTACGACTCCCATTCACACCGCTCTCTCTCACTCTCCCTCACCGCCCTTACGATCTCTCCTCCGATGACACACCCGCCACCCCCACCCTCATTCTCGCTGGGCGCTGGCCGAAACCCAATACAAGAGCGGTGGGTGGTCGGGCTCTCCCACAGCGGCATTGACCTCATGGCGTCCATCTGCGTGTCGTCACCCTTCAGCACCCGCCTGCGTCCTCCGACCAATGCATTTCCGGCTGCTCCAGCTCCGCCTTCGTATCCCGTCCTAGAAGCTTTGGGTTCGGCTACGGGGTGCCGAGAGCCTTGTCGCCTCCAACGACGACAACCTTGGCCGGAATGGGGGTTTTTGCTCCCATTTGAGGGTTTTCTCTGGCGCAAGACAAGGGGAGCGCAACAGGCGGTGGGGCGCCCGGTTTATCTTCCTCCACCCAGCACGTGATGAGGAGCATTGCTGCAGCGGCGATGACCCTCGGATTGGCCAACTCATACCCTTCTGTCGGCCCATTGGTTCCGCTAGGGTTTTCTCCTTGGCCGGCGTATGCTCCAATGGCACCCGCTCGAGTACGATTTCTTTCCCATCCTCGTAGTTGAGTTAAGGTTTTTGCGCACTGCATACTATGTAGGATTGGTTTGGATCTGATTCGATTCCAATCGATTACGGTTAGTGTTGTTCTTGTTACAACGATAGTAGATTGATGCTATAGGTGCTATTGATGATAAATTGGGGCTCTTAGTGCTAGATTGGGGTGCTTGATGCTAGACTGGGAGTCTTCATGCTAGATTTGGGGGGTTTTGATGCTAGATTGGTGCTAGTACGTGCTCCTGTCTAGATTGATGTTGTTACTAGTTAGGGTTTGTGCATGATCAAAGTATGTGCTTGCATGATCATAAGAAGAAGACAATGCATGTGCATGCTCAAAGCAGTAGTGGGACAATTGTGCATGCTACCAAATAGGAGCAAGCCATTTTTGAGCAATACTGGCCATTGCCATTGCCACTTGGACAATGCTATGTTCAGATCATAGCAGTGATCATTTGCAACTGCCACCGATCATTGACAGTTGCAAATGATCAGTGATATGATATGGACATTGCATTGCCCAAGTGGCAACTAGCAGTGATCTGTGGCAATTGCAACTGACCTGAACATAACACTGCCCAAGTGCAACTGCCACTAATCAATGTCTGAAAGTGGAACTAATCCCCGAATGGTTTTGGTAATTAATAACAACATATATACCATTGATGTAATGCTCATTGCTAATATATTTCAGAAAAGATCAATGATTGGCATGGCAAGGACTAATGAATGTGGACCCCTCAAAATGTTAAGGACAAGAATTGGCAACTCCAAGATTCTACATTTTTGGTTTAGTGATTCAAGATCACATTGAGTCCCTTAGAAAAGCCAATACTATTAAAAGAGGATGATGTATTGATGATGAGGTTGTTTCTCAAGTGCTTAGTGATATTGCTCCAAAACCCTTAGTCATTTTCTCAAAAACACATCTGTCCAAACCCTAATTCCCTATCTCGATCCCACTGATATCTTCCAATCCGGACCCGCCAAGATGATCACTCCCATTGCCACTACTAAAATCCCAGCAATTCGGTTTGACAGAAATGGATCTTGGTCCCACTGAGATGGCATTGCCAAGTTTTTGAGATGACATTGTTTCACTTCAGAATCACCAAATTGAAACAATCGGAAATTCTAATACGAAGTTTTGCCCTAGCTATTGCACTTCGGTCCCACCCAGTTGTTCCACTTACACTAACAGGGCTCACCGAGTTTATATTCGGTCTCACCGATTTGGGTCAAAAGTGTGTAACGGTTGGATTTTGGGTGAAGGCTATTTATACCCCTGCACCCCCGCCTACTCTCTAAGAGAACCATCAGAACGGAATACTACCTCCACCATTCGTTTCCTCAAGGAGAACCACCTACTCATGTGTTGAGATCAAGAGATTCCAATCCTACCATTTGAATCTTGATTTCTAGCCTCTTCAAGTTGCTTTCCACTCCAATCCTTCTCCCACCAATGCCAAATCTATGTGAGAGAGATTAAGTGTTGATGAGACTATCATTTAAAGAACAAGAGCAAGGAGTTCATCACCAACACAACATCTATTACCGTTTGGAGAGTGTGTCTCCTAGATTGGTTTGGTGTCACTTGGGAGTCTCCAAGATCATGTTAAGTTGAACCAAGGAGTTTGTAAGGGCAAGGAGATCGCCTATTTCATGAAGATCTACCCGAATGAGGCTAGTCCTTCGTGGACGTAGGCCATGGTAGAATAGACAAGGTTGCTTCTTCATGGACCCTTCGTTGCTGGAGCACTCTGTGGACTCATGCAACCATTACCCTCCGCGAGTTGAAGTCTCCATCGACGCGGACGTATGATAGGACCATCTATCGAAATCACGCCAAAAATCATTGTGTCTTCACTGCGTTTGAAATCTACAATCCCTCCTTTACGTTCATACGCAAAGTCTTTACTTTCCGTTGCACAACTCTTAGACTTGCATGTGTAGGGTGTATTTGACCTCACTTTTATACCAAGACTCATATTAACCTTGTTGTCACCCAATCTAATTTATTGAGCACTACCTCCGTCCTAGTTTATTAGTCCTCATTGTATTTTGGGTAAAAGTTTGACCACATATTTTACTAACACAATATTAATG